GGGTTTCCTTTGAAAATGGAATCAAGAAAAAGGCATTGGCCAGATCAATAGCTGCATACCAGGTACCAGGAGATGTATTAATTTACTCAAGCAGTGAAACCACATCTGGAACAGCAGCTGTAATTGGAGTCATCACCTGGTTAAGTTTATGATAATCCACTGTTATTCTCCAAGATCCATTTATTTTTGCTCAGGACAAATAGGTGAGTTGAATGGGGATGTGGCAGAAATCACCACCCCTGCACCCTTCAAGTCCTTGATGGTGGCAGTAATCTCTGCAATACTTCCAGGAATGTGATATTGCTTTTGGTTTTACTATTTTCCTAGGTAGGGGCAGTTCTAATGGCTTCCACTTGGCTTTTCCTATCATAACAGCCCTTACTCCACTTGTCAGGGATCCAGCGTGGGGGTTCTGCCAGTGGCTGAGTATATCTATTCCAGTTATGCATTCTGGAACTAGAGAAATCACTACAGGGTGGGTTTGGGGATCCACTAGACCCACTGTGAGATGGACCTGAATTAAGACTCCATTAATAACCTGACCTCCATACTTCCCTACTCTGACTGGTGGGCCACAGTGATGTTTTGGGTTTCCTGGAATTAGTGTCAGTTCAGAACCAATATCCAGTAATTCCAGAAAAGTCTGATTATTTCCTTTTCCCCAATGAACAGTCACTCTAGTGAAAGGCCATAGATCTCTTTGGAAAGAGAGATTAACAGTATAAATTTTTGGCAGTATAGTGGGGTCCTTCCTTAAGAGGACCTGGCTTCAACCTTATTCAAGGGGTTTTGGGTCTGTAAACTGGCTCAAGTCTGGGAATTGATTAAGGGACCCTGACTCTCTGTTCTGATGATTCAAGTTAGATTGCTGTTCACTTGACCCAGAAGTCTTCTGGTTGTACAGATCCAGTAAATATTCAGTAGGTTTCCCATGAATTTCACTCCTAGGGACACCATGACTAAGTACCCAATGCCATAAGTCCATACGAGTCATAATTCTGATTACCGCTTCGACTCCACTGTTCATTACGGTAACCATGCTCACCTTTGTCGATTGAGTGCCACCACTTGGCCCCTACCACCACAGGGTCCAATCAGCCCCATAGTCGCTAGGTGTCCAAATTCAGTATCCTAATTTAAGATCTACTGGTGGTGATATTTTACTTATTAATATTGCCACCTCATGCCATGGATTACCAGTGTCCTCTTTACTACTGGATGCAGAGTCAAACACGCCTTTAAGACTAGTCAAAGTTGAGAACCAATTTAGAACACTCTTCTTTAAAATTTTATTTTTCTAGAACCACTCTCAGTACCAAATGTCTTAGGCTGAGTCTCTGGAGAAGCAAAACCAGAGAAGTGTGTATATATGTATAGAGAGAGACAGAGAGAGAGAGAGATTTATCTCAAGGAAATGGCTCACATGGTTATAGAGATTGGCAAGTCCCAAGTCTGTGGGTCAGGTGTCAGGCTGGAGGCTTCTTCTGACTCACATAGCCACAGGGGCTGACGAATCCAAGATTGGCAGGTGAGACGGCAGACTGCTGGCTCACTGGCTGTGAAGGCCAACAAATCCCAAGATCAGTAGACAATACGGCAGGCAGCTGGATCAAGTCCCAAGAACCAGAGGTAAGATGATGATGAGCCAGATGCAGGATCCAGAGCAAGCAAGCAAACTTTGCCAGAAGATCCCATATATATTGGATGCAGGCCACACCCCTGTGGAAACTCCCCTTGAAAATGACTGGCTGATCACATAAGATCACATCATGGAGGATGACTACATTATTATATAACTGCCAAACTACATCATTAGATAATTGCCAAAACACTGAGAATCATGGCCCAGCCAAACTGACACACAATCTTAACCATCACAGAGTATACAAACTCAAGTGTGTAGAAAGAAGCCAAGGTGAGAACCCTGGATTAAACTGACATTCAAGGGAAGGACAGATTTCAAAAAGCCAAAGAAAAGACTGAGAGAGAATCACTATAGAAATAAATTATAGTATTAGGTGAGTCAATGTATGAAGAGTTTCAAAAAGAAATGAGTGATCTCCAGTATTAAATGCAGTAGAGAAGTCAAGTAGTAAGAAGACTAAAAATTATTGGCAATTATTAACTTGGCAATTAATTTCAGTGACTTTGCCAAAGCAGTTTCAGTAGATAGATAGTAAGTAGAGAGTAGAAGGATAGGGTGATGAAGTAGAAAGTGTTACAATGAATTTGAGAAAGATGGCAGCTTGAACATGACCCACTATATCCTTCTTTCTTCCTATTCTCTATTCTGGAACAACCCTGGGGAGAGAGGAAGAAACCAAGAGAACAGAGATGCTAACATGGTACCTATTCTATGAATTCCCCTCCCTAGGGTCAGAACTCTAGTTTGGGGGCAGCAGAGCCAAAAGGTTTGGAGATCCCAGGGAAGAGAGGCCTGGTGCCCTACAATCAATCTGGGAACTCTGGGAGTACAAAATGGGACAGCTACAATTAGGAACGGTTTTATAGTCATGCAACCTCTGCAGCTGTACAGGGCCCCATGCTCAGAAGGGCTCTGTGCTTGAGGTTTAATGCTCTGCAGTTGCTGTCTTGAAATTCTTAATAATTTTATCTTTGATCTTGTGTTTTGTAAGTAAAGTATAATGGACCAACAGAATAGAAAAGAAATCTAGGGGCTTTCTCACACATGATCCTGCCTCCTGCCACCTCTCTGCCTCCCTGGGATGGGTCCTTGCTAACCAGCTCCTCCACCCCCTGGCACCTTAGGCCTTGCCTGGCCTCCTCCTCTCCACCTCCTTCCAGCAAACATGCTGCTGTTTACCTGGACCAGGGCCTGGGTAAGGGTGTAGGGAGGGTCTGGGTAGGGTATGTGCACCCCGTGACATCTTGGAGTGAGGCATGGCAGCAGCTGCCCACCTACCTCCATTCCAGGCACCTAGCATGTGCCAATGCAGAGGTTGTAATACCCTTGATGGTTTCTCATCCTGCATGGGTTGAGGTGGTAGTCTCATTGGAAGGAAAGATACCTGGCTTGGCTTCTTCAGACCCTACCCATGACTAGGGCACAGTTTGTGTGAGTCTGGGGCCCTGGTGGCATAGTGGTTAAGAGCTTGGCTCGGCTGCTAACCAAAAGGTCGGCAGTTCGAATCCACCAGACGTTCCTTGGAAACCCTATGGGGCAGTTCTACTCTGTCCTATAGGGTCGCTGTGAGTCGGAATCGACTCGACGGCAACGAGTTTGTATTTTTGTTTTGTTTGGTGACTGATGGGAGGAGAGTCCCAGAAGCTGGTGGGCCATGCACATGTTAAATTGCCCGGTGACTATAAGGGTCTGCCCTTGGCCCATGAGTATTACCATGTCCAAGGGAGCATGACATTAAACTGCATACACACACACACAAGATACCATAATAAGTTTATGGAGAGATTGCAGAAGAAATAAAAAGCTTTATATTTTAGTACCTTTAACAGGATTTTCTCCTGCTTTTTGAACAAGGGGCCGTGCATTTTCTTTTTGCTCTAGACCCCACAAATTATGTAGTCATTCTAGATGCAATAGTGCAGAAATGGAAAAATAGTATATTCCGGTTGTCATCTCTGGGTAGTAAGATTTTAGGGATTAAAAAATTTCCGACATTGCTGAAGAGTGGATAAGTGAACTGAAGGAAACAATTACATGGACAGCTGACTTCTGAACTGCAATAACAGAAACCAGAAGCCAGTGAGCAATAATTTTAAAGCCTTAGGAGAAAATGGCAACCAAGCTATATCGTATTCCCAGAGAAAATATTTCTCAAATATGGGGATAAAATAGACATTTCTGAGGCACAAATACTGAAAAACCTATCCCTAACAGATCCTAACTAAAGAAATTCTTAAAGAATATACTTCAAGAAGAGAAAGTAATATGAGAAAACATGTCTGAGATACAAGTAGCATTGCTGAGCAAAGAAAATGGCATACATGAGGGTAAGTATAAATAAATATTGATTGAAGAAAAAGTCCAATTTGAAGGTTAAAGAAGTGATTAAATAGAACCAAAATAAGGGTGAGGAGAGATAAAAGGCGATGCAGGCCACACCCCAGGGAAACTCCCCTTACATAAGATCAGGGCTGTGACCTGAGTAAGGGTTTGCATCCTACCTTAATTCTCTTTACCATAACCTAATCTTGCCTCATTAACCACAGGCAGAGAGTAGGATTTACAACACACAGGACAATTACCTCAGATCACAATACTGGGAATCATGGCTGAGCCAAGTTGACACATACTTTGCGGGGGACACTATTCAATCCATGACATTTGTGTACCAGATTTCCCTTCTTAGTTATATTCACTCAGTCTCATATTAAAATGGAATTGAAGAGTTATTGAAGACAGAGGGTTGTTTTGGAATGCATGTAACAGAAAGAGAAGCCTTGTAGTCAGAAAGACTGGAGTTAAATCTTAATGCTCTCTTTCAGCAGTTGCGTATTTTTGGCCAAATTATTTAACCTATTATGTTTCGTCATCTATAAAAGAGATAATAATCCTTACACTTATGGGGTTATTATGAAAATTGAGAGAGAGAATGTATATGAAGTATGAACATATAGACACAGGACATGTTCAAATAGTGGTTGCTATTGATATTGTTATTGTTTGTTCTTCAGTACTAGTTTGGCAGTATATTTGAGGATACCTTGGCTGGTGAATGAAACCTTATACAGGAATCAAAATATAGATAATCCATTTGTGGTTATTTAAAAGTTGTGCTAAATACTTTTAGAAAGCATTAGTTGACTTTGTATTCAAGACTACATTACTTACTTAACTCTGTAATACCACAAAAAGCAAATTTGAGAATTATCCACCGACAGATAGCGGCTCTCTTCTTCTACCTAAAAGAAAATGCAAAAGAAATAATGATATATTAAAATAAATTTATAACAAATACAAATTTGGATACAGGCATAAAAGTCACAGAGAAACTAAGTTACTTATTTAATATTAGAGAAAGAGTAATGAATAAATTTCAGAATAGAATTAATAAATATCTATATAGTACTAGCTCAATTCTTTAGCCACTCTTTGAAAGGAAGAATTTACTACCATGAATGGCAAATTTAGAAAACATTCTGAAGTCTTGCTATCCTTATTGTTTCCATTATATTTGTCTTCCTTACTGAAACAGCATTCAATAAATTTTCTCATTCAGTGGTTCTCAGCTGAGGTGATTTTGCTCCCAGGTACACTTGGCAAAGTCTGGAAACAGTTTTAGTTGTTATCAATGAGTGCTTTTGAGTATATTTCAAAAGTCAGACGTACTTCCTTAACAAGTTGTAGGATCTGATGCCACTATGCATAAATGACAAAGATATTATTATATCTGTACATCTGTGTGTGCATACTTTTTACACAACATTGCACATTTGTATGGACTTCCAATATACAACAAAAGAGAAAGAAATCCTTTTACTTCTTTGGGCATTGTGTTCTTAAAACTGGTAAATACTCATGGACTCAAAAAAGAAAAATTCAAGTATTTTTCACTCTATAGGGATTGAAAAGTGAATTAATATGCATCTCTCATATTACTCTGTCTGCTTGTCCCCTGAAAATAAAGATTATTAATTAAAGAGAAGGCACAAGCCCCCAAATAAAGGAGTCTCTAGAGCAGTGGTTTCAGTCACACTTGCCTGAGAACATCAGCTGTGAGGTGTGTGGCCAGTATTTTGTAATGAATTAAAGTCCCAATGTTTTCAAATGCTTTACTGTTTTTACTAATTTACTTTCTTAATTTGCAAACTAGCGAGGATTCAACATCACTCTCATTCACTTGCATTCACGTATGGTTTCTTGAATTGAAGAAATGTAGTAAGGTACAAAACAAATCTGTAGACATCGCTCTTAATCTTGGGTATGGTCATAGGAGTAATGGCATAAATGAGACCTACTCATCTGAGAGTATTATTACCATAAAATTGTGAGGATGGTGAAGGACCGGGCAGTGTTTTGTTCTGTTGTATGAGCCACTATGAGTTGGAACGACTTGATGGCACCTAATAACAACAACATTACCATAAAGATGGTAACTATGGACTTTAACATACGTATTAATACAAAGGCTAAGGTAAAAATTATATAACATTTCATAACTTATAATTTGATGGTACATACTATAAGATATATCTAAAAATTAATGCTATATTAACAATAAATTTCAAACAGCTCTTACTTATAATTAATGCTATTTAAAACAGGTTAAATTAGGTTGAAAAGCTCAAAAATAGGCAAAATAAAATCTAACAGGGATTATTATTCAAGATTTAATAAGTTACCGTTGAAATCAACTTACTGGGCCTGTAACAATGGGTTTTATGTGATGATAACCAGGAGAAGAACAACGTAATTCTGTCTTGGTTGATCTAGTGTTTAAAAAGAATGGGGAAGGATAAATACCTACAGATGTATAGGAGATTACTACAAACTTAGAAAGTCTCAGTGAGATGGACTGACACCACAGCCGCAACAATGGACTCAAACATATCAACAATCACGAACATGATGCAGGGCCAGGCAGCATTTCGTTCTGCTGCTCATAAGGTCTCCATTAGTCAGGGTCAACTCTATGGCAACTACCATTTACTTTTTAAGCCTGAAAATGTCAATTGCATGCTAATAAAAGAATAAAAAATATAATAATAAAAAATATCTTATTTTCAAAGTGATTTTGTCTTTCTTTTCACACCTTTTTAATGGGCAGAATTTTACATTAAATCACAGCCTTGAATCTAAATTTCCACACTATATGAATGCCTTTTTACATGTTAATACACACATGTATTGACTTTCACAGCAAAAATCTTACCTTCTGTCTTTTACAGAACAAGGTGCTGACACACTCCACTCAGAAAATGATGTTCCTTCATATTCTAAATGAATCTAAAAAAGAAGGCAAAATAGTTCAAACAAAAAAGTCTGCTGCAAGATTTTCATCTCGGAATTTAGTTGTAGGGTTCAATATCTAGTTTCTTATTTTTAAGAGAAAGAATAACTAAACATTTTTTTCTGTGAAATTGTCCAAAGTAATACAACAAAGGAAAAGTAACTTAACCTTTCTGAGATACTTCAGTAGTTTCCCCTCAAAAACCGTAAGGCTTTTATTTTATTTTACTTTTAAAATAATCTATTAAGTTCCTAGGATGTGAGTGGCACTGGGGTAGATTCTGAGGATAAAAAAGTGAATGAGACATGATCCATTACTTAAAACCAAGTCACTTCTAATTATGAGATTCTATTATTCACATATCACTAACTATATCATCGTAACTTTCATCAGTCACCTTTTCTTTATTTCTAAAGCAACTTTTTTCTTGACTCCACATTCTTTGATTTGTAAATTCTCTCTTTCCCCACCTCCTGAAGTATACTGATTTGCTTTCTAACTTTCTAACATCATTAGTATTAGTCTCAGCACTGGTCCTCTTGTTTACCCAGAGTTAGAACCCAATTTCGCCATTTAATATTTGTTACATAAAAAATTGTATGTAAGTATTGCTTCAGTTTTTCACTTGTAAAATGGGATTATAATACCAACTACCTCATCAATTTGATATTATAGAATTAATGATAACATATGAAGAGAAAAATTCACCAGAAGACATAGCATAATCTTGAAATACATGAAGGAAATTTTATAATGGTACATATTTAACACACTTTTCTCAAACTATGAATAAATATGGAGAAAAGGTAGTCATAGGCTTAAAAAATATAATTAGTAACTTTGATGATATACATGTTAGAAGGGATATAGACCCCTAAAATTAATAAGGATAAACTATACACATTCATTTCACTCTCACTGTCAAAACGTTTACCAAAATTGACTACATTTAGATGGGAATCTTAACCAAGCCCAAAGAATTATTATTACATATACTAGGTCCATTGAAAATGGTGAAATAGAATTATAATTTCTCATAAAGTTAACCAGAAAAGTACTTAAGATAGCTGTAATCTAAACAAACTGTACTTCTGAGTGATTCATGGAGTAAAGCAGAAATCACAATGGAAATGACCAAGTATTTAAAAATAAATTTAAAAAAGCATTGCTGTTGTTAGCTGTCGTTGAGTAGGTTCGACTCATAGTGCCCCTATAGGACAGAGTAGAACTGCCCCATAGGTTTTGCAAGGAGTGGCCGGTGGATTTGAACTGCCGACCTTTCGGTTAGCAGCCTGAGCTCTTAACCACTACACCACCAGGGCTCCAAAAAAGGCATTAGGTATTATCAAAACTTGTCGTATGTAGTGTAAGCAGTCCCTGGAAGGAAATGTATAGCCTTAAGTATGTACAAAAGAAATAAAATTGTTGGAAAATTAATAAATACTGTCTTCAGTGTGACGTGCTAGTAAAAGAACAACTGAAAAAACTCAAAAAATAAAGCAGCAGACATAAAAAGAAATATATATATATATACAAACAAAAACAAAGGAGAGAGCATTGGGAAGGAGCAACGGTGATATAATTTTTTAATCTTCCTAAATTTCCTTATAAATACAGATAGAGCAATTAGGATAGCACAAAAAAACACTGGACAATATCAAGAATAAAACTCAATGACAAGGTACCTGTCAAATCCCCAAAATAAAAATAGATTGGAACAAGTCACCACAAATTACCAGACTCATGTAGTATCAGCATATGGAAGCAAAGGAAAGCAATGGATATATGATTGAGCTGAAACCAGGAAAGCACCTAAATCAGTGACAGGTATTTAGTGAAAAGTGTGGCAGGGCGATCTCAGGAGAGCTACTCTAACTGGAGGAGTTTTTTTCAATTTTCATATCGTAGTAAGTAAAAGAGGTCCACAGTAATGTCTGAAAAGTCAGGAGGAGATGGGACCTATGAACTCCAAAACCAATAAGCCAAAGGTCCTTTCTAAGACAAAGCCCCATAATGAAGAGAAATGCAGGGAGAAGAATCCCAATGGGGTAAAAAAGGACAATAAAGAAAAAGGGAAGAGAAAAAATAAAGAGAAGGATAGAGGAGAGGAACAAAACCTGGAGTCTCAGAAAGTATTAACCTTATTTTTGAACACTTTACAAAAATAACAGAAGGAATACTAAAGCTACCCAGTTGAAAAGTTACTTTGACCCACCCCTCCCCTCCTCAAAGATGAGGAAAACTAATTTCATGTAAAAAATGAGCAACAGAAGAGGATCACAGTTACATCCCATATAAACTTATTATAAGAAAAAAAGAGAGAGAGAATAAGAAGCAGAGTAACATGTCTGTAAGAATACCCTAAAGGTTTGCCCAATAAAGAAATGAAAACTATAATCTAAAATTTCAAAATGAGGTAAAATAAATAAAAAAGAGAGAAGTTTTGAAGGAGCAATATAAATCAGAATTTGAAACTCATAAATGAAATGACAGAACTCAGGAGAAAATTAGAAATAAAAGAAAAAGCCATTTCAGAAATGAACTAAATTAGAAGGAGCACAACTGTGAATAAACATAATAGATAATGCCTTCAGAGAATCAGAAGATGAAAGAACGGGAAAATTTAAAAATAACAAAAAAGAAGAGAGATAAATGATTCGAGAGGAAGTGACAAATATAAAATAAGGGCAAAGAATATATAATATGTATACTTGAAGTCCCCGAAGAAAGTCCTTGGAAAAGAACAATAACATCAACTACAATTTAAGAATAAAATCTCAAATAATAAAACTTAGAACACCATGTTGAAAGGGCTTAGAACACCATACATATTAAAAGGGCACATTTCATACCTAGGAAAAACAATTAGGAATGATAAAAAAAAAAAACAGGACCTATTCTAATAAAAGTCTTGAACTTAAAAAAACTTTCTGGGCATTCAGGCAAGAAGAGCAAGTCATTCATTAGGAAAAGAAGTTCAGATTTCCATCAGAAGCAACACTTTATGATATAGTAGGCAATAAAGTAGCAATATATAAAAGCAAATAAAATATTATCCAATGACTTTTATATCCAGATACATCAGCTTTTAGGTATAAAGTCCATAGAAAAATTCTTATGACCATAAAATACCAAAAAACCTTCCTGAGAAATCTAATAAAGAAAGAGCTTCAGATAATCAAGATGACTTCAGAGATACCAACGTAAGGACTGATACCAAGTATTAAATATGCATTTTTCTGTAGAACCAAGTCCATATGGTGGCTGTAAAGGAAAAAAAATACATAAGTGTTAATAACTATATACTCCATATTTATGCCTATTCCAAAGAAAGGTGATCCAATAGAATGCAGAAATTATGGAACAATATTATTAATATCTTACACAAGTAAAATTTTGCTGAAGATCATTCAAAAGTGGCTGTAGCAGTACATTGACAGGGAACTGCCAGAAATTCAAGCCGGACTCAGAAGAGGATGTGGAACGAGGGATATCATTGCTGATATCAGATAGATACTGGCTGAAAGCAGAGAACACCAGAAGGATGTTTATCTGTGTTTTATTGACTATGCAAAGGCATTCGACTGTGTAGATCATAACAAATTATGGATAACATTGCAAAGAATGGGTATTCCAGAACACTTAATTGTGCTCATGAGGAACCTGTACATAGATCAAGAGGCAGTCGTTTGAACAGAACAAGGGGATACTGCGTGGTTTAAAATAAGGAAAGGTGTGCGTCAGGGTTGTATCCTTTCACCACATTAATTCAATCTGTATGTTGAGCAAATAATCCGAGAAGCTGGACTATATGAAGAAGAACGGAGCATCAGGATTGGAGGAAGACTCGTTAACAATCTGTGTTACGCAGGTGATACAATCTTGCTTGCTGAAAGTGAAGAGGACTTGAAGCACTTGCTGTTGAAGATCAAAGACTACAGCCTATTGTATGGATTACACCTCAACATAAAGAAAACAAAAATTCTCGTAACTGACCAATAAGCAACATCATGATAAATGGAGAAAAGATTGAAGTGTTAACGATTTCATTTTACTTGGATCCACAATCAACGCCCATGGAAGCAGCAGTCAAGAAATCAAATGACATATTGCAGACTGCAGAAGTTGGTAAAAATCTTCAGTTTCTTCATCTTTGTCATTAGTTGCTGATGTGTAAATTTGAACAATAGTTGTATTAATTGGTCCTCCTTGTAGGCGTATGTATATTATCCTATCACTGACAGCGTTGTACTTCAGACTAGATCTTGAAAATGTTCTTTTTGACGGTGAATGCAGTGCCACTCCTCTTCAATTTGTCATTCCTAGCATAGTAGCCCATATGATTTTCCAGTTCAAAATGGCCAATACCAGTCCATTTCAGCTCACTAATGCCTAGGAAATAAATGTTTATGCGTTCCATTTCATTTTTGATGGTTTCCAATTTTCCTAGATTCATACTTCGTGCATTCCAGATTCTAATTATTAATGGATGTTTGCAGCTGTTTCTTCTCATTTTGAGTTGTGCCACATCAGCAAATGAAGGTCCTGAAAGCTTAACTCCATCCACATCATTAAGGTCGGCTCTACTTTGAGCAGGCAGCTCTTCCCCAGTCATCTTTTGAGTGCCTTCAAACCCGAGGGGCTCATCTTCCGGCACTATATCAGACTATGTTCCGCTGCTATTCATAAGGTTTTCGCTGGCCAATTTTTTCAGAAGTAGACTGGCAGGTCCTTCTTCCTAGTCTATGTTAGTCTGGGAGTGCCGTTGAAACTTGACCATCATGCGAGACCCTGCTGGTATCTGAAATACCGGTGCCATAGCTTCCAGCATCATAGCAACACGAAAGCCTCCACAGTACAACAAATTGACAAAAGAGTAGTGGATATATATATTACATGTATGTATGTATGTTTATATATATATATAATTAGGCACTTTAGTGATTTTTAAGTGGCATTAATTACATTCACAATGTTGTGCAACCTTCACTGCTATCTATTTCCAAAACTTTTTCATCACCCCAAATAGAAACTCTGTACACATTAAGCAATAACACCCATTCACCTCTTCCCCTGCTAATCTCCAGTCTACTTTCTGTCTTAATGAATTTGCCTATTCTAGATACTTCAAATCAGTGCAGTCATACAATATTTGTCCTCTTGAGTCTGGCTTACTTCACTTAGTATAATGTTTTCATCCCCTAGCGTCTGTTTTCCAGAGTTCTGACAAAGTTGGTTCTACCAGTTTTTGCTTGTTTTTGCCATCTTGCTGAAGTCACTCCTCAACACTACCTCTCCTTGCTACACACATATTTAAGGACATATATTAGAGAGGGGACCTAGATTAGGCAGGTAAATAGGCGTGGAAATTAAGGGAAAAGGAAATGAAATAAAAATAAAGAATGACACTGTTACAGATTGAATTGTGTCCCCCCCAAAATGTATTGCAAATCCTAACCCTATACCTGTGGTTATAATCCCATTTGGAAATAGATTTTCTTTGTTATGCTAGTGAGACAGTATTAGTATTGGGTGTGTCTTAAGTCAATCACTTGTGAAATATAAAAGAGATTAAACACGCAAGTGAGTAAGCAGAGATGGGGGAAGATAGATGCCACACCACGTAAAGATCACCAAGGAACCAAGGAACAAGGCCCTTCCCCCAGGGCTGACAGAGAAAAAGGCTGCCCCTAGAGCCAGTGTCCTGAATTCAGACTTCCAGCCTTCTAAACTTTGAGAAAACAAATTTCTGTTTCTTAAAGTCTACTCACTTGTGGTACTTTCGTTACAGTAGCACTAGGTAACTAAGACAGATACTCTGCCATAAAACTGAATATAATTAACTCTGCTCTCTGCTCTAAAGTCCAAAAAAAATTAAATACTTAAACATAGTTTTAAAAAATATTAAATACTTACAGTACTTCTGATATTAAAAATGCAGAAGTTTGGGCTGTTAGTGTAATACCTGTGGAAGAAAAAGCCAAATGTAAATATTAAAACTCCTTCGAATAAGAGAGAGTTTATACATGATTTGAGAATGAAAAGGCTGCCAAAAGTTTCCCTTTTGTGACCAATCACCCTCCTTGGAAAGCATATTCAGAGCTAAAGTAGGGGATTTCAGTGAGCTCTCCCCACTACTCTAGGTGCATTATGGTTTGTATAGTATCTGAAGACACTACAATGAAAAGCACTTGTTATGTCTTTTTTTTTTTTAATGTTGTTGGATGAAAACTGTTGGTGCTAACTCCACTTATACACTGAGTTAAAATTAATAAAGTTTGAAATTTCAAACAATAATATTTCCCATTTGGAACACTGAAGGAAAGAGCAACTATTTCTGTGAATCCTTGTTCACTATCATTTCTTTCCATCATCTAAGTTATCTTTACCCTCCGTCTGCATGATCCAACTAAAATAGAGCTGTTCAATAGAAATATAATGTGAGCCACCTATGTAATCTTAAATTTTCTAGTTGCTACATTTTAAAGCGTAGAAAGAAATAGGTAAAAATAAAATTTAATAATGTATTTTATTCGACAGGTAAACAATATAAAATAATTAGTAATGAGATATTTTACATTCACTTTTTCATGCTAAGTCTTTGAAATCCGGTGTGTATATTACACCTACAACACATCTCAATTCACTCTAGCTACATTTCAACTGCTCAAAGCCACATGTGGCTAGTAGTTCCCATGTTAGACAGTGCAGATCTAAATGCTTCACCTCAAAATTCCTTCATCCTTCCTTCGCTTCAATAATGTATTCCACGTCTATATTACATATCTTACTGCCATTGGAATTGTTCCATCCCTAAAATCTTAAAATCATGGTCATTTTGTGTGTGGTGCAGGGGTGGGGGGAGAAATTGCTGGGATACGATTATTTAACTGCTTTATCAGAATTATATAAACCTTAATAGTACTTTGAATTCTCACTTTTAATAGATGTCAGTCACTGGTATAATGAAACTTTATATATACACACACACACATATACTGGTATATATACATATTTTTTTCATCAAAGACTTTCTCAATTAAGTGTACAACCACTTCTTATGAATCTAATATAAGGCTTCTTTCATTATAGAAAGAAAAACAGAAACCTCAGGAGAGAGAAAAAAAATATGAGGTAGATTTTGTATTTTAATTTACAAAGTTAAGGCATGTGATTTAATTTGTGAGTGAAATCTCGTAGCGAAATGATAAAACTACTTTTCCTGACAAGCTCTTTTCATCCACCCATTCCTTCTCTGGGGAGAGGTATGGAGGGAACAGTAGTTAAAGGAGTCATGAGAAATTAATTAATTTAGTCCCTGTTACTCATTGCTGTGGAGTCGCTAAAATAACTCCTTCTATCCTTGGTTTCTTAATTATGTCAAATATTTCATGCATTATTAAAAATGGATCTGGGAGGCCCATGGGTGTGGAGTGTGCAGACGGATCGTGTGCTCACACCATTTTTTTCACGAAAAGGGCACTGTCATCAT